CTTTTTTATTTGCTAATTGTATAAATTCACAAGAACTGTCTGGCCGGGAACCACACTAGTGGATCCTGAGGGGTGCCTAACACCTTCCTCTTAGGATAATTTCAATCTCTTACCCTATCTCAGGTTACCAAACGTAGTTATAGATGAACCTTATAGGTGCCCTAACGCACCTTAAATTGTTAGGTGGCGACTCTTCAAAAAATGCAAACCCCTTTCCCAAAAGGAAAGAGTTGTCCTATACCAAAAAAAATGTCATAACCCGATTCCCTCCGCGAGGAAATGAAAAAGGGGGCGCGACAGAGGGCAGTTCAGCATGAGTTGGGAACATGGGTCGAGTTGAGCACAACATTTCATCCCCAGACGGACGAGCAGTCCGAGCGCACTATTCAGATTTTGGAGGATATGCTCCGAGCTTGTGTCATTGACTTCGGAGGCTCGTGGGATCAGTTTTTTCCTTTAGCAGAGTTTGCCTACAAAAACAATTACCAGTCGAGCATTTAGATGGCTCCTTATGAGGCTTTATATGGTAGACGGTGTCGGTCACCGGTTGGGTGGTTTGAGCCGGGAGAGGCTCGGTTGTTGGGTACGGATCTAGTATAGGATGCCTTGGACAAGGTCAGGATTATTCAGGATAGGCTTCGTACAGCTCAGTCCAGGCAAAAGAGTTATGCCGACAGTAAGGTTCGTGATGTGGCATTCATGGTCGGCGAGCGGGTATTGCTTCGGGTGTCGCCTATGAAGGGCGTGATGCGATTTGGGAAGAGGGGCAAGCTTAGCCCTAGATTCATTAGCCTGTTTGAGATTCTTGATCGAGTGGGAGAGGTGGCTTATAGACTTGCGTTGCTGCCGAGTTTATCAGTTGTGCATCCAGTGTTTCATGTGTCCATGCTTCGGAAGTATCACGGCGATCCATCCCACGTGTTAGATTTCTGCACTATCCAGTTGGACAAGGATTTGTCCAATGAGGAGGAGCCGGTAGATATTTTAGACCGGCAGGTTCGTAAGTTGAGATCAAAGAGTTTTCCTTCTGTTCTTGTTCAATGGAGAGGTCAGCCTGTTGAGGCATCGACCTGGGAGTCCGAGCCTGATATGCGGAGCCATTATCCCCATCTTTTCTTCGACTCAGGTACTTCCCTCTTATGTCCGTTCGAGGACGAACGGTTGTTTTAGAGGCAGAGAATGTGATGACCCAAAAGGTCATCACTTGTTTTGGAAATAAAATCTATGTTTCGAGGCCTTAAAACCTCCTTTTTATCTCACCTCGATTTGCGTGCGAAGTCCGGGCGTGTATCCGGAAAGCCATTATGTGAAAATCTATGAAAAATGATGAATTTTGCTTTTAAAATAAATTTAGGTTGACTTCGGTCAACATTTCGGGTAAACGGACCCGGACCCGTGATTTGATGGTCCCGGAGGGTCCGTAGGAAAATATGGGACCTGGACGTATGCCCGAAATCGAATTCCGAGGTCCCAAGCCCGATAAATGAATTTTTGAAGAAAATTGTTTAACTGAAATTCTTAGAGTTTTGGAAATTTGAATGTAACTGAATTCGATCGTATCGGACCCGCATTTTGGTTCCGGATCCCAGTACAGGTCTTATATGGTATTTAAGTTAAGCCTGTAAAATTTGGTAAGAAACGGACTTGAAATGACGTGAATCGGACCTTCGGTTGTTAAAATTTGAACTTAAGAGTTCATGAGATTTTTCTTTGATTTTGATGCTAAATTCATAGTTATTGATGTTATTTTGATGATTTGATCGTACGAGCAAGTCTTTATGATGTTTTTGGACTTGCGTGCATGTTTGGTTTGGAGCTCCGAGGGCTCGGGTGAGTTTTAGATAGGCCACAGAGTGAAATTTGGACTTAGGAAATTGCTGGTGTGTTGCAGGTCTGTAGGCTTCGCAATTGCGAAGCCTGGCTCGCAAATCCGAGCTCGCAAATGCGAAGGTTGATCGCAAATACGAAGATGGCCTGGGCAGGCCTTGATTGCAAATGCGACCATTTGATGGCAAATGCGGAGGGCCAGAGTCGCAAATACGGCATATGCCTCGCAAATGCAAAGCCCTCAGGAATTTTGAGTGGTCGCAAATGCGAAAATTTCTTCACAAATGCGAAGAAAGTAGACTTGCGAACCCTGGTCGCAATTGCGACATCAGAGACCAGTTAATTGAGACTTAGACGCATTTTCAGCCATTTTTACAACCTTTTCAAAACCTAAACACCTTTGGGCGATTTTTCAAAGACAATTACACTTCCAATTCATTTGTAAGTTATTTCTAACTCATTTCTTTCATTCTAATCCATCCTTTTACATGATTTCAACTCAAAATCAAGGGTTTCATGGGGGAAATTGGGTGATTTGGGTAGAACTTAGGATTTTTAAATTTTGGGGATTTGGACCTCGACTTGAGGTCTGGTTGTAAAACAAATTATATATTTGAATTCGTGGGTTAATGGGTAATCGGGTTTTGGTTCGAACCTCGGGTTTTGACCATGTGGGACCGGGGTCGATTTGTGACTTTTTGGGAAAAACTTTAGAAAATCTATTTTCATGCATTAGAATTGATTCATTTAGCATTTGTTGATATAGTTAAGTAACTTGTGGCTAGATGCAAGCGAATTGGTGGTAGAATCAAGAGGTAAAGCGGTAGTTGAGGCTTGAATTGTGTTCGTAGCATCGAGGTAAGTGTTTGGTCTAACCTTAGCTTGAGGGATTAGGAGTGGTGTCTTATTTGCTATGTGTTAATTGTGGAGTACGACGTATAGGCATGGTGACGAGTATCTATTCGTCGGTATCAAGCATGCCCGTGAGTCTCGTATTGTAATTGTTGTGACTCCGTTGTGATTGCTTAATATGTTGATTATCATTGTTGGTTCCCTTGCCGGGATGTTAAGGTTTATGATATTGTCTCCCTTGCCGGGATGTTATTGTTATGACATTGTCTCCCTTGCCGGGATGTTATTGTTTACGATATTGTCTCCCTTGCCGGGAAGTTGTTGTTATACTCTTGTTCCCTTGTCGGAATTCTTTTGTGATTGATGTTGATTTGAAATGGGATCGGATTGCACGCCTGCAACAAGATATATGAAATGGGAGCGGGTGGCACGCCGCCACGGTAATATTTGAAATGGGATCGGGTTGCACGCCTGCAACAAGATATATGAAATGGGAGCGGGTGGCACGCCGCCACGGTAATATTTGAAATGGGATCGGGTTGCACGCCTGCAACAAGATATATGAAATGGGATAGGGTTGCACGCCTGCAACAAGATATATGAAATGGGATCGTGTTGCACGCCTGCAGCAAGATATATGAAATGGGATCAGGTGGCACGCCGCCATGGTAATATTTGAAATGGGATTGGGTTGCACGCCTGCAACAAGAAAGAGATGAAAGTGAATACTGTGTTTGTTTCTCTTATTCTTGTTAGCAATTGAATTTTGGTTTCTTTACATTCCTCTCTGGTATTCTGTTGTTATCTGATACTCCCCGCAGCATGCTTTTCCCCTCCCAACTTTAACTGTAAATATCTGCCTTTATTTTTTCGTTGTATATGATTTAGCTGCACAGGTTTATTTGGTAGACTGGTCCTAGCCTCGTCACTACTTCGCTGAGGTTAGGCTAGGCACTTACCATTACATAGGGTCGGTTGTGGTGATACTACACTTTGCACTGTGTGCATATCCCGGTGCTGCAGCTTTTGGATCACAGTGAGGTTGCTGCTTCCAGACCGTCAGGCGACCCGAGGTAGTCTTGCAGGCGTCCGCAGGCCTTGGCGTCTCCTTCTATCATTTTCTTTCTGTTTTACTTATTCCGAGACATATTCATGTAATTCTATTCAGACCTTATTTGTAGTATTCTTAGACAGTCTGTGAGATTGTGACACCAATTCTGGGTAGAGTTGTACTTAGACATCCGCAGTTTGTATTAATCTAAATTATCATATTTCGTCTTCCGCACTGCTCTTTGTTATTATTATTTTCGCTGTTTTTGTTATGTTATTTTAGAATTGTTAAGGGATTTAAAATGAAAATGGTTAAATAACTGGAATAACTGGCTTGCCTAGCTTTCACTAGTAGACGCCATCACGACTCCCGAGGGTGGGAAATCCGGGTCGTGACAGGAGGTCGCTACGCGCGTGATGGCATTCTTGGAGCATCGCTTGGCTTGCTCGGTGTCAGAATTGGCTGTTTAAGATAAGTAACTCTTCTAAACTTAGTGCTGAGGGTATGAAACCCTGAATTATGTGTTCTATGATTGGTGTTGAGGTGACGGGCGTGTGGGCGTGCACTGATGTTGTTGCTAAAACTTAAGTATTAATATATATACATATTAATACTTAAGTTGTAGCAACCACAAAATATGTATACATATTAATGCTATATTAACATATGCTATATTAATATATGCTATATTCATATATTGTTGTTGCTAAAACTTAAATATTGATATAGCACTACATCTTATAGAATTATACACTTTGTTTTTAAATGTGTTATAGTAAGTTTTAATCGAATATAATTGAATTTTCAATTGATCCACTGATGAAGTATCCGAGAGAACATGTAATTCACGGGACAAGAGGGGGTTGCTCACATAGTCACAGTAGTCTCACCTACAACACATGGTTATGGGTTTGAGTCACCAAAGGAGATAGTTCCAACAAAGGGGAATCAAAAGGGTGGGAGATCAAAAAAAAAAAAAAAAAAAAAAAAAAAACGTAGATGAATCTCTAGGCGGTGTATATTCCATTTATTTCAACGTGAAAAGATACACATTAATTAAATTCGAGACATACGAAGTAAATTCTACTTACGCAAAATTCAGATACTTATTGGGACCAGTTATGCCTTTTCTTATTTGTTTCGAGGGAAATAATTTCATTCTCAACGATGTATTTTGTCGTTTAAGATAACTTCCAAACACTTCGACGACGTGTTATGCAGTTTTGTTCCCTATAAATGAGTCCTTTTATCCCCTGTAAGTAAACGTACAAAAAAAAGTAACATCTGAAGTTTATTTTCCCAGGTTCGTCCTCTCTTTTTTCTCCTATGATCAGGCAAAGGATTGACATTTTAACAAATTAGTAAATGTTTCTTTTCATTAAAGTCTTTAGTTATCATAAAACTTAGTTTGTTAGAAGGGGTATGATTCACCTATTGAAATATATTGTTGCTTTTTTTTCTTATGTTTTATTAATTAATTTTTATAGAAGACGTGTCCTCTATTAAGATGATATTTTGCTTGTGTCGTTGCTAAAATGGATGTGATTCCACTATTTAAAATAAAGTTGCATTCCCTTTTCTCTGTCATAGGAATATAATTCCCTCTAAATGGCAAATTACTTGTCCATTTATGATACTCCTTCTCAGGGCGAAGCGATAAATTTTACAAAGGGTATTTAAAGTTTAATATATATTTATAAAAAATAATTTTTGACCTATATACATAGTATATTTTTTATATACTTAGTATAATTTTTTGATGAACAGTATTCAATCGAACCCTTCACTCTATGTGGCCACGCTACTCAGAAGAGGAGCCAGAATTTAGAGCTTATGGGTTTGGGGTTCTAGTCTTAAGTTATTGAATTCTAAACTAATAATCTGTACATATTCAATAAACGCGATTTTTTCTATTTCGTTCCTTTTTGTTTTGGTTAGATTCATTCACAAGAAAAGGAGAAAATGGCGGACCTAGTCTCTAGCTGGTCTAATGAAGGCGAAACACTTCCTCCAAGTTATGTCTTACCAATGCATGAAAGGCCAGTTGATCCAGTTCCAATTGTTAAGGAAATTCCAGTCATTGATTTGGGAAAAGCTAAGGGCGAAGAACGAGCTGTTGTCGTTCAACAACTTCTGAAAGCTTGTGAAGAATATGGTTTTTTCCAGGTTTATTGTTTGTGCACTTCTAAGACAGGAAATATAACTACATTACATTTGCGATCATACTCTTCTTTTTAAAGATTATTAAAATTTTAATAAGAGACCTTATACTTTCTCAACTGAAATAATACCATGCATGGTGAAATAGGTAATCAATCATGGAATACCAGAAAATCAAATGGACGAGGCATTGAAAGTGTACCAGGAATTCTTCAGTTTGCCAGTAGAAGAGAAAGCGAATTACGCAAAAGAGGCAGCAAATGCCGCAAGCGGTGCAGCAACACTATATAGTAGTAGTGCTAGGCATTATGAAACAGAAGAGCATAAATACTGGAGGGATGTTCTCGAGCACACCTGCAACATTGACGGGGAAGATAAAAGCATTTGGCCTGATAAACCTCTGAGATATAGGTACCTAATTCTGTTCCTCAAATTTTATTTCTTTTGGTCTTTTGATTTCACCTTATGTATTATATCTTGGTAATTATTAAGTTTTAAATCCTGAAGAAATTACTGTGGATTATATATTTTTATTGGTAATTTTATTTAGCAACTTATAGATGGGTTTTATGTAATTTACAACCAATAGTGTCAAGAGAAATGTTTCAAGACATGATTGAAATTATCGGGCTTTTAAGACATTTTATCAGTCGGCAAAAATAATTACATCTACTGGAAATATGTCTCTCTATCTTCAGAAGAATATGGGTAAGGTCTGCACAGACACTATCCTCTCCAGAACCCACTATGTGGGTATATTGTTGTTGGCCAAAAATCATTACAACCGCTGGTCAAATATATATATTCGCTATTATTTTGGGAGGCGACCTCCGTAAAAACTACTACTCAAATATAAATAGACATTTCTTCAAGTTATTTTCTTGCCCTGTAGTTTCATGTCTATGTAAAATATGAAAATGAAATTTTCAGGGAGGTTATTGGTTCATATTCTGCTGAAGTGAGAAAGCTGAGCAAGATAATCTTGGGTTTGGTAAGTGAAGGATTAGGGTTGGAGGCAGGGTATTTTGACAAAGATCTTGGGCAGAGAATGCTTGCCATTCTTTACCCAGAATGCCCAGATCCAAGTTTAACATTGGGAGTTGGTGGACATTGTGATCCTAATCTCATAACAATAATCCAACAAGACGCATATGGCCTTCAAATATTAAAGGATGGGAAATGGATTGGCATAGAACCTCTACCTCGTGCACTTGTTGTCAATTCTGGTTTAGCTCTGACGGTAATGCATGTTCCTTAACATTACTAGCTAATTTCGAATAGTTAAATGATCATTTAAGTAATGAACTCGTCGTATAAATGCAGGTGATTAGCAATGGGAAGCTAGGAAGTGTAGCACATAGAGTGGTGACTAACACAACTCGAGCACGGACATCTATTTGTACTTTCATTTGTCCAGAAGATGTCGTTGAGCCTGCAAAATCACTTGTTAGCCCGTCCAGTCTCCCATTGTACAAATCCTTCAAATGGCGTACTGAATTTATGCCCCATTATCTCAGCAAGAAATCAGTGTATTACGCAGCGTTGGAGCCTTTTAAGATCGATGCTTAAGCATTGTCTGTGTGACGGATCAGTGTTGCTGCTGCCACTTTTTTCTGTTTTCCCAAATAAGAATGGATATTAGTTAATCCATTTGGTGCTTCTTAAATGTACTTTGTTAACGTTTGCCTTGCAATCTATTAGGAATACTATCTCCTGTCCATAAATAATGGTTCAATCTTGATGAGTACTGTTTGACTAAAAAGTGTAGATCTTTGAGTAAGCTAATTAAATCTCTATGATGAGGGGCTAAACCTAGTTAATGATAATAACATCTGATCTATAATCGGTTAATACGAGTGACGTAGATTAGCGTTGGAAGCAGATTAAATGCAACGTGTATTTAATGTTTCGAGACCATCAATGAAGAGGGAATGTCAAGAAATAAATAGCAATAAATGACATTAAAGTAAATAAGGAGAATAATTAACCCAATATTGAATGAGGTGGATGATTCCTCCTCCTGACAATGATGGATGAAAGGCAAATACTAGAATATTGGGATCCTTCTCGGATCTTATGGAAAAGGTGTGGAATAATAGACAATCGAATCCCTTTGAAAAGGTAATGTTTGTATTCTATATAGAGAGAAAGTCTGTTTTTCAAAGAATGTTCTTATTAGAGAATATTACATGCCTTTCACTTATCTCTCTTTCTATTTATAAGGGACATATAAAAGTACAAGTACGGAGAATATCCAACGGAATATTCTCTTAAAGATTCTACTGCTAAACTAGTCGTTACTGCCATTTAGGATACTTGACCTCGGCCACGATCGACTGCTCGGCGGTGAATTCCACTGGTTACTAGTCGACCTCGGCCAAATTACTTTTAGTAATGCCACTTCGTATCGAATATCCTTTAGGCAGATTTTGACCCATACAGTTAGTCCCTCCGCTTATTGAGGCCGTCTCTCAGGCAACCTCGATGAGCGGACTTTGCTAGTCGTAGTTGATAGATTTAGTCGAGCAGGTGGACTAGTCACGCTCGCGGCGAGATGGTAACATGGCACTTCGTGAGCCATAGCCTTCCGTTACGTTGATTCAGAATGATTTCATGACATCATACGTTATTATTATGTGTTTTCCCGATGTGTTACGTCGTTTCTCGTGCCTCTGCTATTTTGGTATTCATGCTAGGCTTTGACGGTTTGTATTCTCGTTTATGGTGCCTGGGTTTTTATAAATAGGGATAGAAAACTATTTGCCTGATCCTTTACATTTTCAAATATTGAGTCTACCTCTTTCTTCCCCCTTTATTCAATGTTCTTGCTTTTGTTACCTTCACCCTTGTATCCCTGCTTTCACTGATCTTTGATAACTTCTGCTACTCATACCTCCTCTGTGCCTACACCTTCTTCATATATAAGAAACTTAAAGATAGTTAATACACCTTCTAGTTCTGGGGGTGTATCTGACCCCACACCCTTGGCAGTGCGTGTGCCTCCCCATGACGATGGGGTGGCCATTGTTGCAGAGGATGATAGCTTTCCTACGGTGGAGGAAATAATTTCCCGTAGGGAAAAAACCAGGTTTTATTTCTCGAAGTTGCCTGAGGATGACCCCGAAGTCTCGGAGTCGTCGATGAAAGAGGCGGCTCTTACTGAGTTTAGGGCTAGATTTAATATTCCCGCCCACAGAGACCTAATCCCTGCAGGGCACGATTCGGTGCAAATACACCGCCCTGGGCACTGCACCTTCTATCCATACCCTTTCTATGTGGGTTATTCTTTCCCTATTCTCCCCCTGGACGAAGAGTTCTGCCGTTATTACCGAGTGTGCCCGGCCCAACTTTCCCCCTATATCTACAAGCTCATTCGTATGATCTCGAAGTTCGCGGAGTTGGCCGGGGTTGAGGTAACCCTCCGTCACTTGATGCATCTCTTCGCCCCCAGTTTCCACAGGGGGACGATGTTACACCTTCGCCACCGAGGCATCAAATGTCTAGTGGTAAAAATGGATGACAAGGCCAACCGTTAGTTCTGGCTCAATTACATCTACGTCAAGACCGAGGACGTAGTGGTTAATGCAAGCGGGTTCCCTGAGCTTTGGAACTACGCCCGTAAGCATCCTTTCCCTTTCCTTTTATTGTACTTTGTGTTGGTTGACTTTGGTTGTGTTGACTACCGTTTCTTCATGCAGCTGAGGTCGAGCCCCCTCCTTTGGTCGAAGATATTCACGATTGGGTTAGCCGAACCTTCCCTCATACGGTGGGGATTGGCGAGTGGTCCGCCTTCCGCAATAAGTTCGGGCCCAAGCTTCCCGGTGAGTTTGCTTCTTTTTTGTCTTCGTTGTTGTGTCTTTCTGATTGGTCACTTTTCATTGTTGCGGGGATTGATCTTGACTTTATTCTCTTTCTTTTGTTGTTAGCATGGGGAGGTTCGAGGAAGTTGAAAGCTCCTACTCCTGTGTTTCGCCAAGCGACCGCTACAATGGGGCTTACCCTAGTTGCGACCATGACCAAGCCTGCCCGGTCGTCTTCCTCTATTCGGCCTCCGGCCTCAGCTAGACCAACTCGACCATCGGCAGCTTCAACATCGAAAACCTCGGCCTTTCCTGTGTTGCATTTAGTAGATGAGTCATCACAGAGCGAGGAGGACTTTGTTCCTCGTAAGAAGAGATCGGTGGATGTTGGTAACGGAACCATCCGAGCAGTGGATTCTTCGAGGGATGATCATGAGCCGACCACTGCTATGTATGAAAGCGATGTTGGCCCGACGTCTGAAGTCTCGCTATCAGCGGGAGCCGTGGAAGGTATGATTTTGCCCGAGGCAGAGGTTGGAGGTTGTGGGTCGTCCGTGGAAGTCACGGGTACCGTACCGAGAGATGAGCTGTCGACTTCGAGGCCAGTCGACGTTCCCACCACGTCTACCCATGAGAGAGGCGAAGGGGTTACTGAGGGCGGATATGAGACGGGTTCCGATATAGATCCTAATGAGGTCCGGATGCTGAGCGAGGTGTTTACTCACGTTGAGGTTAGGCTAGACGGGTCCTCGAGGACTATCGTGGTTCGTATGGAACGACACTTACTGGTGAATATTGAGGATGTATTCCCTCCTTAGGCTCCCTTTGCTCTGATGTGGAGGGTAGGACCCTCGAGATATTGAATGATGCCGCCCTGTCGTCAGGCATAGCGGGCCTCGCCCTTAGGGTAAGTTTTCCGCCCTCTCTAATTTCCGTGCCTTGCACTCTACTCTTTGATCTTCGCTGATTTTCTTCTTTTCCTTTTTCTTTTTAGACCATCATTTTGGAGATTGAGAGCGCTCACCGAGCGGAGAGGCGTAAAAACATTTTTAAGAAGATGGAGAAGAAGTGTAACGGCCAGACTGGTCGTTTTGAGCAATTTCGTCCGGTTCGGCAGCTTGAGGTCACGAGTATCTTCATATTATGTGTATTTACTTGCGTGCATGGTTGGATTCCGTTTCCGGATGATTTAGAGTCAAATTGGAAGAAGGAAACTAGTTTTGGAAGTTTAAACGGTGAAAATTTGACCGGAATTGGACTTTTGAGTAAACGGCCGCGGAATGGATTGTAGGTGGTCTCAACAGCTTCGTATGGTGATTTTGGACTTAGGCGCATGTCCGAATTCTGATTTGGAGGTCCGTAGGGTAAATTGAGGCGTTTCGGCGAAAGTTGGAAAAGTGAAGTTTGGAAAAATGGAGAAGTTTGACCCATAGTTGACTTTTGTGATATCAGGGTCGGAATGCAATTCTGAGAGTTGAACAGCTCCGTTATGTCATTTTGGACTTGTCTGCAAAATTTCGCGTCATTCCGGATTGACTTGATAGGTTTTGGCACGAGTTCTGGAAGTTGGAAGATTTGAAAGTTCCTAAGTTCGATTCATGGTGTGATTCATTGTTTCGGCGTTGTTTGATGTGATTTGAGACCTCGAGCGAGTCTGTTTAGGTTATATGACTTGTTTGTGTGTTTAGACGGGGTCACGGGGGCCTTGGGTGTGTNNGGGGGGGGGCTACGGGCCATTTTCCCTTATTTTTGAACTGCTGTTTCTGGTATCTGATATCCTCCTTCGCATTCGCGAAGCCCCTTCCGCGTTCGCGAAGTGTCTCTGCTGGTCGCCTCATTTTCCTTCTTCGCGTTCGCATAAAACGCCTCGCGTTCGCGAAGCTCTGTCTCTTCCTTCATCGCGTTCGCATCTGTCCATCGCGTTCGCGTAGTTATGCCATCCCACCCTACGCGTTCGCGTACTAGTTCACGCGTTCGCGAAGAGCAGTCTTTGGGCCATCAGACTTTCCTTCTTCGCATTCGCGGACGCATTGTCGCGTTCGCGATGAGTAACCTGGGCACCCTTCATTTTCTTCTTTGCGAACGCGATACTCCCTCCGCGTTCGCGATGCACAAAAGCCTGGGCGGACAGAATATAATTCCAAATCGGGGGTTACACCATTTTCACCATAACTTGACTTGTGGAGCTCGGTTTTGAGCGATTCTTTGAGGGGTTGTCACACAAATCGATTGGGTAAGTGTTATTCACCTAGAATCAAACATATTCCATGATTTTATCTTCTTTTTCATCATTAAATTTGTGTTTTGGGTTGGGAGAAATGTTGGTTTTTGAAGGAAACTTCTAAAATGAAAAATCATGATTTGAGGGACCAAATGGTATCGGAATTTGATAAATTTTATATGGTTGAACTCGTATTGGAATGGGTATTCGGTTTTTGTAAAAATTGACGGGTTCCGAGGTGCAGGCCCGAGGGTCGACTTTTGGACCGATATTTGGATTTTGTTAAAGATTGAGACTTTATGATCCAAAATAGTTTCTTATGTGTTTTATTTGTACTTTGAAGTTAATTTGGTTAGATTTGAGCCGTCCGGAGGTCTTTTCACCCAAGAAGTGCATTTTAGAGTATCGGTTTGTCGTCGTTGAGATAAGTATCTTGCCTAACCTTGTGTGGGGGACTTCCCCTTAGGATTGAGTCTTCTATGCTAATTGTAGTTCGTGCACGCGAGGTGACGAATGTGTGCTCGGACTTATTTGTGGGAAATTTTCCTTTAGGGTTCTTAGGTCTATATATTCATTAAGTGAGAAGTTTTTCGATATGATTGAGCTTCCTAATTGTTTGTT